CCTGCTGATACCTTCCAGCGATTGTTCTTTTAGTGGAACAGTTCTCTTTTTCCTGTGACTCATGAATTCATACGAGATTCTTCATTTAGATTCTGTTTCTTTTAGTAGTGGAAACACTTCTATTATAGGACATTATAATGGAAGATAATACTTGAATATATTTCTGAAAGCTAATAATCTATATAAAATTAGTCCAGTCAATGCTTAATGCTGAGTTACTGAGTTAGCTAAGATTCTATAAAATTTCCTAAACTTTTTTAAAATTTTTAATTTTTTTTTAAATTAATTTTTTTTTTTGTTAACTAGGTTGTTTATAAACATTTTTCTTAGCTTTTCTTTTAACTTTTTAAAAGCTTCAAAAAGAGATTTTACAAAACAAGTGTGCATCTTTTTGTTTGATCTTTTTTTTAAGTTGTCTTTTTCAGCTTTTCTGCTTTATTTACATTTTGTTAGCTATATGTTTGTCTTTTAAATGATATTTATTTTTTTATTAGTAATAGAAACAATAATTAATGATAGCAAAGGAAAAACATCAATATTGACAAAGGTTTAAATATATTTTTAAGTTGCTTCTATTTCCTCTTTGGAGTTTTATGTTTATCTATTTTCAATTTGTTTTTAGCGGCTGAATTGTTTTGATGTATTTTATACATGTTAACGAACAAAGTAAAATATGCATCTTGCGTATTGCAACCCTTCCCGGGGAGCACATGCAGTTTCATGTCTTGTTCGTCATTGTTTAAAGTAATTTTTTTAGACAACTTGACCATGTTTTTATATAGTAAGTGTTTTAAGAACTTGCAGCAAAAAACATATAAGAAACTAGAGAATAAAAAGAGCGACTAAATCCTGATATGCGGATGACAAAAGTAATACTTGAAAACAACATTTTGGGTATATGGCGTGTATATCTTTTTAAATGGATAATATATGTTTGTTTGTTGTTTTGCGTTTAAGACAAATGAGCACATGGAGCAAAGGCAATAAAAAAATGAACAGTTCTCCGTTTTTTTGTAGCTATGATAACTGTAAATGTAATTTTACACGTCGACCAGATTTGAAAAGACACACCAATAAGTTCCATGGAGTTGACAATGTTGTTCAAAGTGGAAATTGTTTATGAATTCAATGGCAATGTGGACATCCGTTTCATAAAATTAAAGAATTACGTAAACACCTCAAGGAAAGTCATAATATTGAATTCAGAAGGAAAGTACTTAATTTTGAAAATAAAATAAGTGGCTTCTGAAGTTTTTGTAAAATAACTGAACAGTGAATTGATAAATGCCTGGTAATTGTGATTGTAAATCAAAATTAATGAATTAAAAAATGTGTAATGACATTACTAATGTTATACAACTTGTTTTGAATTTACTTGTCATTTACTTGTATAATACAAGTAAATGAAAACTTAAAAAAAATCTGTATTTTTTCAAAAAAAGGTTTTAAAAATTGGAATTATCAGTTAGAAGGGTTTTTTGGGACCAAAAACAACCAAAATCTGAGTTGTGATTTTTTATGTTAAAAATTAGATAATATAAAACAATTAACGTTGACTATCCAGTAGAATTTGCCAATAATAACTTTTGTTTGCATCCAGTTTTGTGAAATTGTTTACATTACTAAGTATAACTATTAAATATTTCTTTAAAAGTAGGAAGTAATGTTTTTTTATTTCTCCTTGGGGCTCTTGGTTGAGTAAAGGCCTGTCTTGAAAAAGATACTTATTTTGGGCAGATGTTAACTTGATGCAGCTATTGTCTGGTATTGCCTCCTAGGACTTCAAGGTGTAAGCAGAAATTTTCTGTTGGCCAGCCTTGCACCCCGTCTTCTATTTGCATGTATGCAACCCATATAATTGGGTGGCATAGATGTAAAATTATTTTACATAATTTTCTGCATAGAATGATGAACACTAAACTTTATTGACTATACACATGGATTTTTGCTTGTGCTTCTTTGCTCTTTAACTCTATTCTTTATTTTCTGTTAACTCCAATAGTGATTGCTTGCAGCCTTGATGAAAGTGAATTTGTTTTTTAAAAAAATGATGCTTTGTTATGAAAATGTAGGAACATCCAAGATTAAAAAAAACTGTACATCTACCATTAAAGTAGTTACAAATACTGATGGAAAAGTTAAAGCAGATGTCTGCTACACTCATTATGGACATTGGACGTGGCTTAGTAAACGTCATTATGTCATTATGGACGTGGCCTAGTAAACGTCAATGCCAAGTGATTGCTACAAAATTACAACAAGGAGTAAAACACAGAAAAATTCTGGATGATATAAGGTAATATTTTAAGTTTTAAAGTTTTCTTCTTAATCTTATTTTTAAAAATTTTACCTACAACTATTTTTGGTAGGGATGATAATGGTTCAAACTTTCAAAGGATTCATTTACTTGAAAATAAAGATATCTTAAATATTGGACGTGCTTTTGGAGTACAAGAAGTGCAAAAGCATAGTAATGACCAAGTGAGTATTTTATCATGGATCCAAGAATGGGAGCAACTGGATAGGAGCCCAATTCTCTTTTACAAACTTCAAGGTATATAC